GAAAGCCTGGACCGATGCCCCATCTGTTGCAAAGGGGAATCTACCCCCAACTCTTATATTTTTCTAAAGTTTTTCGAATGTCCCAAAAAGAGTTGGGTGTTTAGTGGTCCTGGGAATGTTTTTTAGGACTCTGGGATCCCTACTAACTCGTCTTAGGTGGTTTCAATGCTGTTATACTCAGTGATCTGCGGTTGTTCGATGCCAGAACGACGCTGACCGGTGCTGGGGTGTTGCCCTGTAACCTGCGATGCAGGAGCGTGAGGTCTGGTAGAGAGATCTAGGGATGTCCTGGGGTGGGCGCTCCACGGGACAACCAAGGGTTGCTCCCGGGACGACGCTGGTCGGAGCTGGGGTGAGTCGCGTTGCCCTGTAACCCAGCAGAAAGTGGGGGTGTGAGACCTAGAAGAGATCGGCAGGGAGTACAACAGTTTTGGAGAACGTTGGAAGGGTTGGTGTGGGATTTCGAGGGTTTGGGAACAATCGTAGGACCTCTATAGCCTATTCTCATGCTTCTGGAGCAACGGTAAGAGTTCATAGGTACTTCAAAAAGAAAATAAGGAGGGTGGGAGAAGATGGTGGGTTATCACGCGTCCTACCGGTGAGGGGGCTAGCTGGCAGGATGGGAGTATGGCATAGCAGCAGCAGAGATGGTGGCTCCGCTGCAGTCAGTCTTGCTGGAGGGGGGTAAAGTGGATTGATGGGGGGGTTTCTGAGTCGTTTCCGAATTCTGCTTAATCATGAAAGTTGTCATAGACATGTCTGAAGTAGCTCCAATTCTTCGAGCCAAAGCCGGGTAATGGCCCCGGTATCTCAATTTCTAAATTTCCATCCTTAGGCCAATTAGATTTTTCTAGTAGTTCCTTGTCTCATTTTCATGAAATTTTCTGATGAAGTTTTCTGAACGTACTCGTTATGGGACGCTGGGCCCGGTTCCCAGTTTGTGCCAATTTGCGAAGATATGGTTGTATCTATGGGAGCTGGACCCAGTTTCCAGCAGGTGCTGCTCCCCACCAATAGATGGAGCTTGTGTTTTTTTGAAAAAAAAAAAAAAGGGTCGGGTGGGGATGTGTTGTATTCAAGGGATGCCTGAAGTGGATTTTAAACCGGAATCGTGACTGCACCCTATTTACCCTTACAAAAAAGAAGGTATACAGACTCCCATACGGACTTGCATACAGGTAACATAGGTACGAGTAACACTTGTCTACGCTAGGTGGGTGTACTTAGGGTGCACCCTGGCTGTCATCATGATAGGTTAGACCTTGGCCTGGAGGGGGCAATTAAACACTGTGTGCAGTAGCTAGAATGGGGATATCCTAGGTACAAGGATTCCGAGGGGCATCAAGGGTTAGCTCACGGGGCTTGCGTCAGAAGTGCCAGTATGACAGGGATCGACTGGTGTGGCTTCCGCCAGGGCTGAGAGGGCTGGCCTGCTCAGTGCTCATGCCTGCAACTGTTGTCTGTTGGGTTGCTCAGTTTTCTCAAGACGGGGGAGTAGGGGTGCAACAAACCCTTGGCCGGCTACAGGCTGAGACTGCTTGTCTATGTGTCTGTTCGGCCTGTGAGACCAGACCATTGGCCTGCTCCCACCAGACTGTTATTTGTCCAATCCGGTACCAGGCCGGTACCTGTTACTCCAGTCAGTTCACTCACGGTATACCCTGCAGCAGTCTGTACTTTCAGACGATCTGTATTTGTAAGTTTGCAGCCAGGAGGCTGCGCTTGTGTGGGTTCCATTTTCGTCGTTTCATGTTCTTTCTATTTTCGGTAAGGTCGTGCAGTACAGCTTCGCCAGGATGGGTTTTGTTGGGGTCTCTGACAGCAGAAAATAGGGTCCGGTCGGAGTCGTCCCTAAGAACGGTTGTAGGCCAGGTTGGCAGGTTATCTTGTCAAGGTCGTTGCAATTTAGTATAGGGCGCTGTCCATTGTTTCCCTTTTGAGGGATAGAGTTTTTTTCCCGTTGCAAGTTGGGGGCGAGCAATATGGGTGTGGGCGGGCGATTTGGGTCTGTTTTTTTTTTTTTTTTCTCTTCTACTGTATCTTCCCAGAAATACTGTATCGAAGCATTCTGCTGTTTTTTTTTTTTTTTCATCTATCTCATTTTTCTTGCTAGTACTCATCTATCTCATCCTCTCACTAGTCTATGTACTACGACCAAGTAACGAAATCTAGAAGGGACTGCCCTGCCTCGTTGGCAGAGCTTACTAAGAAAAGAAAAGAAAAGAAAAAAAAACGTACTCAGTTGGCAAGGCTAACACTGGCGAGGGCGTTTTTAAAAAAAAAAAAAAAAAAAAAAAAAAAAAAAAAAAAAGGCTTGCAAGTGGCATTCAGGAGGTCGTGGGTTCAAGCCCCATTGGCCTCATGTACCTTTCTGGGCATGCTTGGCGCCCGCCACCGAGAGATAGACCACTGGATCCCCTGCCGATCGGCATTGAGCAGAGTCTGCTGATGTTCGTAGGGGAGGGGACCACCACCTGAGGGGAGGCACAGGGATTGGTCCTGTTGGCATGGTCCCTGATGCTACCGGCTGTCCCCTAGCTGGTATCGCCCACCTGCAGGTCGGGAGTAGCCCCTGCATGTTCTCTCGTGAACACGGTTCTGACTGCTACGGGGTTCCCCGTATGCGTACAATTAGGAGTAGTGGTAGGTAGGTAGTGTGAGCTGAAGTTTAGAGAAGAATATAGCTGTGGAGATGGCGGGCCTTGCTCCACTACTGACCAAATGTGCAAAATGAGCATGAATCTTCTGGTAGAACATAGGTAGATACACTGCTAGTAGTTTAGAGCTTGAAGTGCCCTTTTTCCTGGCCGCATGTGGGGTTCCCTCAGTAAGTAGCTTGCTATTCGGTTTTCAGATTTTTTTTTTTTTTTTGCCCTCCTGCGATAGAACAATCTGGGCTCCATCCAGCGGCCTACATCCAGCAGCCTAGCTCAATTGGTTAGGCACACAAGTGGCATTTAGGAGGTTGTGGGTTCAATCCCCAAACCCCCCTGTGGCACTTTTGGTGCCAACCAAGTGAGATAGTCAGCTGGATCCTCCCAGTCGGTATCACTAATGTCTTCAGCCAACACGGGTGTGAGTGCGCGTGTGAGTGGGTTGCGTGTGGTGTGTGGGAGAGCATTGGCTTTAGACACTACCATCCAGAAGGCTGCCCATCCCCCACTTCATAAGAGCTTTGCAAAACTTACTGTCTAGAACGTAAATCATGCTACCCATATTAGGTGGGATCTGTGTGTCTGTTTAGCTGAGTTAGGCGAGCGTTTTCAACTTTTAAGTTCTCGTGCTGGTAGCATGAAGGAATTTCGATCCCTTCAGTGGATTTCTGCTTACTCTAATGTAGGGATCATAGCAGTGTCGTTTTTTGTTTTCTGGTTTCGTAGAGGTTGGAGTTTTTGCTTCGTGTGTGGTCTCTTTCCTTTTTCACCTTTGCTGATTGTTTTTTGGTCGGGGCTAATATGGTGCCTTTTATTGGTTACTCGAGACGATTTGGGAGTGCTGCCCCGCACAGACCTCGTCATGGTGGGCGGTGGGCTCTCTTAGGGGGTTGGCACAGACTGAGGGAGTGGTTAGCCCTAAGGTGGGTGGGTTTGCAGGGTCTTTTGACCCATCCCGCGCGGGTGGTAGGGATTTCCCACAGGGGTGAATTTGTTGGATTGGTATTCGTCTCCTTATATGTGGTTGGGATTTTCTTCTGACGTCCTGTTTTCTTGAGTGGGATTGGAGAGTGTCGCTCCGCGGGTGCTTCATCATGGAGGGCGGTGAAGATCCCATTGCGAGGTGAAATACAGATGAGAGGAGTGGTGTACCCGAAATCGCAAGGAGGTGGGTGGGTTCTGCGGGGTCTTTGGCCCCTGCCGCGCGGTTGGTAGGGTATTTCCGCAGGTTAGCGAAATCGCCATCATGGTGGGAGTTGGTGGTTTTGGTAGGTGAATGTCGGTGGTGGTGCGATCCGCTCTTAATCGCGAGGAAGTGGGTGGGTCTTTGCGGGGTCTGAGTCTGCGGTTGGGGGGCCGGCGACCCAGACCCCTGCCGCGCAGGAGGTAGGGCGGATGCGCAGGGTCTGGTGTTTAACAGAGGATGGACGATTTTGTTACTGGCGTTGCGTACAATTAGGGTTTTTGCATAGTCTTTTTCTTATGTTCGTTTTGTTGAACCTTTTGTATGATGTGAGGGATGCCGGACACGTTTTCCGGCTTTTATAATTCAAAAGGAGCCATCGTATGAACCAGGCTGGAGTGCCTGGATCATAGAACATTTGGCTGCCAGTGTTCGGGTTAAAAAAAAAAAAGAAAAAAGAAAAAGGAACGCATTCAAAACTGAAAACCTTGATTGCACCCTTGTTTTTTAAAAAAAAAGAGAAAAAAAGAAAAAACGGGCGGGGAGTCTTAAGTGAAAACGGCCCTAAGCACTAAGTGAGAGTGGGCCCTAAAGAAGACTTGTTTTTTTTGTTTTTTTTCTTTGTTTTCATGTTTTTTATATTTTTTTAAATACATTTGAACTTCAAAAAATAACAAAAAAAATATAGGGATGTAGATCTCAAGAAGATCTACAACCGCGTTTTTTTTTTTTTTTTTTTTTTTTTCCTTATTTTTTGCCGGCGAAAAGAAAATTTGCAGGTCGCGGTAAATCACAGTAAATGGACGTTTCACCGTGGTTTCAACACGCATTGAAATATTCAACGCAAGACCCGCGTTGAATCCTTTTCCAGACACTCAGCTCAATGTCACTCGGGCCAGATAATGGCCATGTCGGGGTGGGGCTGGCGCTGGGCCGCAGTTTCGCCGCAGCCCTCCCACCTACTCTGCTGCTGTCTTCATTCACTTTCTGGTCAGAAATTCCCATCTCCAATTACCCGCCTTCCCCACGGGTTTACTTGTATGAATTTAAAAAAAAAAAAAAAAAAGCTATAAATTCGGATCTCAAATCTCTCTGCTACTAAAAACTGCAAATTGCCTACTATGCTTTCACAGAAACAATTGAACATTAAAAAATGACTTCAAAGATCAAATACATATTCATTCTTTTTTTTTAACACATTTGTACTAATGATGTGAATTTGTGACATCAGTTCTTTTTTTCATGGTTTACAACCATGGGGCCCTAATGCGCCTAATTTAACTTGTTAACTTGGTAACACAGCGTTGTTGTACGTAGAACAATGGTAACGTCGAAGACTGCCCGTCATCCCCCGAATGGAACGTACAGTCCTTATAGCTGTATTTTGGGCAACTCTCTCTCTCTCTCTCTATATCGTCAAATAGAACTGCCTACGGTAAACCGTAGGCAGAGAGGGAGAAGAGGACAACAAACGAGGGGCTGTGACAAACTGTTTCGTCGAAGTTTCACCGACTCATCAGGAGGCTGAACCCTAACAGTCTGCAGAATCCCCTCACTGATTACACTGTAAATGATAATCTACCTTAACCAAAATCAAAGTAGACT